CAATCAATTTCTTTGTTCGACAACAGGATATTTCCAAGAACCGACAGTCAGGAACTGGTGAATGGCTGCTCAATGACCCCAAGTTCAAGCAGTGGAAATCAAGCACCAGAGGAATTCTGTGGTGCTCTGGAATACGTGTGTAACATCAGCATATCATCAGTGTCTCAGCCTGAGTAATATGTCTAGCTGGTGCTGGGAAGACTGTGCTTGCGTAGGTCCCGATTGCACTAACTGAGTTCCGCTCATATATATGATTGTAGCTCTCTTGTAGTAGACCATCTAAGTGCCCTCCAAAGCAAGGATATTGGAGTGGCATGCATCTACTTCAACCACAAGGAGACTCAAATGCAAACACTGGACAATCTGCTTGCAGGACTTTGGAGACAGCTTATCCTAAACCAACCTCTTGGTTCTGCTCATGAGCTGCATCAGAAACATGCTGAAAAGAAGACAAGGCCGTCATACAAGGACATTCAGACACTTTTATCTTTGGCACTTCTCAGGTTCACACAGGTTTATGTTATTCTCGACGGGGTTGATGAATACCCAGAGAATCAGTGGGGTATACTAGCCAAAGACTTGAGTGGTCTGGGGCTTATCAACCTTTTGGTCCTGTCACGGCCCCATATTTCCCCACCTCAGCTGCTTCCAAATCCTGTAACACTGGAGATACTGGCAAGCCAAATGGACATAGAGACATATGTGGAGGCCCAAATCCAGCTGTCTGCTTGCTTGTCGCAGCATGTTCATAAGGAAACAGGGTTGAAGGAGGAAATTTGTTCAAAAATCAGTACCACTGTCCGTGGAATGTAAGTATTGTATTAATTGGAGGAAATCATTTAACCAGTCACCTTATCAGGTTCTTGCTTGCCAAGCTTCATGTTGATGCCTTGCACACAGCAACCAATATAAAGGAAGTCCGACAAGCTTTGGAAGATTTACCAACCGATTTGGACCACACATATAGGAATATCATTGACCGGATCAATACCCTTCCTCAAAACCGAAAAGAGCTTGCACAATCAGCACTTACCTGGGTTGTCAATGCAAAAAGACCTCTGACCAGTGTTGAACTATGTGAAGCTCTAGCCATTGAGCCAGGAACAAAGGAATTGAACAAGGACAATATCACTGATATTGCTATCATCCTTTCTGTCTGTGCTGGTCTCATAATCATGGAAGAAAACAGTTCTTTGATCCGACTTGTTCACTTTACTACCCAGAAATATCTGGATGAACTCCAAACTAGGGAGCTTGCAAACCCACATGTCAAAATCACACAGAGCTTGCTAACATATATGCAATTTGAGCAATTCTCGCACAAAGGGGTTTCTGGGGACAATAGGCCACCACTTCTTGAATATTGCCAATACAGTTTGGTACATGCTCAACAGTGTGAAGAGGAGTTGAGAGATCCCATTATAGAGTTTCTGAAAGAGGTCAAGATATACCAGAAACAGTGGTTCCGGTATTCATGGGAGTGGCAGTCCGCTCCATGGACCCTTCATTCTTGGCCTAACTCTCCCTCATCTTTATGGATTGCAGCCTCGGTAAATATGGTGAAGATAGCAAGTTATCTTCTGGAATGTGTTGGAGAATATGCTGACACTGAAGTGCTGGCTGTTGCCGCATATTATGGCCACGGGGATATATGCCAACTCCTCCTTGACAAAGACATGGATGTGAATGCACAAGGAGGGCACTTTGGAAATACGCTCCAGGCGGCAGTTTACGGAGGCTATCCCGAGATTGTTCAGTTCCTTCTTAACAAAGGGGCAGATGTGAATGCAGAGGGAGGACAATATGGAAATGCACTCTACATAGCAGCCTATGAGGGCAATTCCGAGATTGTTCAGATCCTTCTTGACAAAGGGGCAGATGTGCATGCACAGGGAGGGACCTTTGGAAATGCACTCCAGGCAGCAGCCTTTGGAGGCCATTCCGGCATTGTTCAGATCTTTCTCAACAAAGGGGCAGATATGAATGCACAGGGAGGGGTCTATGGAAATGCACTCCAGGCAGCAGCTGTGGGAGGCCATTCGGAGATTGTTCAAATCCTTCTTGACAACGGTGCAGATGTGAATGCACAGGGAGGACAATATGGAAATGCACTCCAGGCAGCAGCTGTGGGAGGCCATTCGGAGATTGTTCAAATCCTTCTTGACAACGGTGCAGATGTGAATGCACAGGGAGGACAATATGGAAATGCACTCCAGGCAGCAGCTGTGGGAGGCCATTCGGAGATTGTTCAAATCCTTCTTGACAACGGTGCAGATGTGAATGCACAGGGAGGACAATATGGAAATGCACTCCAGGCAGCAGCTGTGGGAGGCCATTCGGAGATTGTTCAAATCCTTCTTGACAACGGTGCAGATGTGAATGCACAGGGAGGACAATATGGAAATGCACTCCAGGCAGCAGCTGAGGGAGGCCATCTCGAGATTGTTCAGATCCTTCTTGCCAAAGGTGCAGATGTCAATGCACAGGAAGGGGAATATGGACATGCACTCCAGACAGCAGCTGGGGGAGGCCATTCTGAGATTGTTCAGATCCTTCTTGACAGAGGTGCAGATGTGAATGCACAGGGAGGGATCTATGGAAATGCCCTCCAGGCAGCAGCCTACAGAGGCCATTCCGAGATTGTTCAGATCTTTCTTGACAAAGGGGCAGATGTGCATGCACAGGGAGGACAATGGGGAAATGCACTCCAGGCAGCAGCCTACGGAGGCCATTCCGAGATTGTTCAAATCCTTCTTCACAAAGGTGCAAATGTGCATGAACAGGGAGGGGAATATGGACATGCACTCCAGACAGCAGCTGGGGGAGGCCATTCTGAGATTGTTCAGATCCTTCTTGACAGAGGTGCAGATGTGAATGCACAGGGAGGGATCTATGGAAATGCCCTCCAGGCAGCGGCCTACTGTGGCCATCTCAATATTGTTCAGATCCTTCTTGACAAAGGGGCAGATGTGCGTGCACAGGGAGGGTTGTATGGAAATGCACTCCAGGCAGCAGTTGTGGGAGGCCATTCTGAGATTATTCAGATCCTTCTTGACAAAGGGGCAGATGTGAATGCACAGGGAGGGGAACTTGGAAATGCACTCCAGGCAGCAGCAGCAGCCTATGAAAGCCATCTCGAGATTGTTCAGATCCTTCTCGACAAAGGTGCAGATGTGAATGCACAGGGAGGACAATATGGAAATGCACTCCAGGCGGCAGTTTACAGAGGCCATCCCAAGATTGTTCAGATCCTTCTTGACAAAGGTGCAGAAGTGAATGTGCAGGGTGGGTACTTTGGAAATGTGCTCCAGGCAGCAGCGTGGGGAGGCCATTCTGAGATTGTTCAGATCCTTCTTGACAGAGGTGCAGATGTGAATGCACAGGGAGGGATCTATGGAAATACCCTCCAGGCAGCAGCCTACAGAGGCCATCCCGAGATTTTTCAGATCCTTCTTGACAATGGGGCAGATGTGAATGCACAGGGAGGGTACTTTGGAAATGCACTTCAGGCAGCAGCTCTGGGAGGCCATTCCGAGATTGTTCAGATCCTTCTTGACAAAGGTGCAGATGTGAATGCACAGGGAGGGTACTTTGGCAATGCACTCCAGGCAGCCGCTTACAAAGGCCCTCTCGAGATTGTTCAGATCCTTCTTGACAAAGGTGCAGATGTCAATGCACAGGGAGGAGAATATGGAAATGCACTCCAGGCAGCCGCTTACGACGGCGATCCCGAGATTTTTCAGATCCTTCTTGACAAAGGTGCAGATGTGCATGCACAGGGAGGGAAATTTGGAAATGCACTCCAGGCAGCAGCAGCAGCCTATGAAAGCCATCTCGAGATTGTTCACATCCTTCTCGACAAAGGTGCAGATGTGAATGCACAGGGAGGGGAATTTGGAAATGCACTCCAGGCAGCAACTGAGGGAGGCCATTCCAACATTGTTCAGATCCTTCTTGACGAAGGTGCAGAGGTGGATCCACAGGATGGCAATGAACTCCATGCAGCTACGTAGGAACTGGTTGGATAAATAGTTGCTTATGTAGAATTGTCGCATATTTAAAATCATGTGTATGAAATACAACTCGTGGTTTGACCTGACATCCTGATAATTATTTGGAAAGTATGTGTAGTGTGCTGTTCTCTTCACTGACATCTACTGCCCATTCGGGTGTCTCTGCCATCTGGACAATGAGGTGTTTTATGATTACTGACCTCAACTCAGGTTCATACCTCGCAGTTCTTCCGATGTTCATCACACTGGGTGAAGATTTCAATTTTTCACACAGTTTTTTCAGTGGAAAAAGAGCGCCGCAGGGCACTCTGCACCCCACTGCTTCGCTTCTAATTCAAGGGATCAGGATGATATTAATCTGGAAGAAGCTGTACAAGCTGTTGAGACCCGAAAGTCGAAACAAGGCTGTTAAGTTTCATGTGCACGGTAAGTTTCGGCAAGTCTCGGCATACTCGGTATCACGAAGCCGAAATGTTTTTGGTGTGGTGCTGCCGCATCACATGATACCATCAGTGGAGCCTAAAAGGCCTCGCACAGGCATGCACGTAATTTTATAAAGGAGAATGCTATTTGTTTCACACCTATTTCTCCTGAAACACAACTCTCGGTAAATCTTTCCTTGTGCCAAAATCCACGTCAAGTTGGCTCGTTGTACACTCCGACCGCCAGACCAGTGGTACTGTACACCACCTACCTAAATGCCAGACATGCCCTTGTAAGTAACGGCCAGAGCCTCCTTTGATTCTAATCTGGTTGAAAAATTCTACGCGGAAGACGTGGGTTCGCCTCCCACCGAGGGCATACATTATTTGCGGCCTTCTTGTACATGTGCGTTTTCGTTCCCTGATGCTTCTATTTATTTAATCGTGCGACCACCTTCCTCCCCGTAGCTTGTCGAGGATTCAAGAGAAATATTAGTGTTCGTTATAAACATGGTGAGTTGTGTGTGTGTGCTCTATTACAATATAGTACAGCACCAAGAAAGGCACCCTCGTAGCTCAACGGTCAGAGCCAGCTCCCATTGTGCGCACAAAGAATGAAATTCAGAGTAAGACGTGGGTTCGACTCCCATCGCGGGCCTATCTCTTTCTCCACGTATTTCTTTTTATTTCCCGTACCGCAACGTGTTCAAGTCTTTTGTCTTCGAGGTTTGGTTCGCGGTACCCGGTACGAAGATGTGAGGGTTCATCTTCTTTGTGCAGGAGAAGGAGACCCCCGGGTGTTCTTTGTGTCGTGGTTTTGCAGACATGAACGGAGGGAAAGGCAAAGTACGGGGAAATTTGTGACATTCATTCAGATTCAGCTTGGGATTCAGTTCTATTTATCGTACACCCCACCTCCTTGCCCACCCTCGCCCACATCCCCACAGTACAATCCAGATAGATGGAGTACAACACATCAAAACATGCTGCCCTCGGGCGGCGGGGGAGCTTGCGGTTTGCAGGGGAGGCCATTTCTCTGTTGGTGTGCGTCAGCGCCATGAAGGACGGGCAATACCACAACAGGAGCATAAGTAAGATGTGGGACGTGGGATATAGGTGCGCGGGGAGAATTCAAGAGGAAAGAGAAGGTGGGAAGGAAGGAAACGAAAGGCGGAGACAATACAGTCAAGGGACCAGAGGAAGGGAACAAAACGCAAGCACGCACCTCCGTATCTCGACCAACACGTGCTCGAGGCTGCTCACGCGCGTCCAGGAGGCGAGGACGGGGAGGCGGAGGGGGTCGACGGTGCCGGTCGTGGCGGAGACGAAGGGGAGGTTTACGCGGGAGAGGAACTGGGTGAGTGTATCGCATCGTGTATTGTTTGCAGAACTTCGATGAGATGCGTTGCGGGGTGGCAGGAGTGGCCAAGGGAGAGCAGAGGCAAAGCAGAAGCGAAGCAGAAGCAGAAAGGAGACAGCGTCAGTAAATGCGCGCAGCACAAGAAGCAAGGCGCGCACCTGCACCGCCGGGGCAGCATCCGGGTACCTCTCAGAGCACGTAATTTTGAGGCTGTAGATACGATTCTTGTGCACGGTATGCCCTGGGCCAATGATGGTGGTTGCTCATCATGATGTAGTTCGAGTCTTCGAGGCTGTAGGAGCAGGAGCAGGAGTCAAATCGACACGGATGCCTTGTCGTCCTTTTCGAGCTCTTCGAGGAGGCGGAAGTTGCGTGGACCTGGGAGAGATACCAGCTGCAAGATGGTCTGCCTTGAGTTTGCTCAGCCACGTGCCCCTGGAGTCGTATTAGCATCCATTGAATGGAAAAGAAAGTGGAATAGAAAGGAGAAGGAGTGACGTAACCTGTTCTTCCCACGCATCTCTCTCTTCCCGCCTCATCGCTTGTAGCCGACTCGACCTGACTCGACGTTGTTCAGCTATACCTGGTCGCTCCTGGTGCTCATGCGAACGCGCCCTCCGCAACCATCCTCGGCTCGACACGACTGACCTGACTCAAGTACTCCGAGTCGTGCTCGCCAGCCGAACACTACCGTGCAATCCGCCCGCCCCCGACTGAACAATGCATCTGGGCACCAAGCTTCTCTCACCTCCACGCTAACCTATCTGTCCTAGCGCGTACGGCGATTTCATGTGTCGCCCAATTTCGCCTCGTTTGCCATGCTGCTGTAATCATGATAACGCTTCGTCTCCCCGCGTCTAATCCACTCCAAGACCCAATATTAATTCCATCACATCCATCCTGCGACATCCTGCCGCTAGACCGCCTTCTTCCTACCTCGAACTTTTGTGCAGGTGCGGAAAGGCTTCCCGTGGAGTGCCCCCAAAACCCTGAGATGCAGTGTGCGCTCACCCCCTCAACCGCGTATACTACCCCATCCTCGCGCCATGTCTCTGTCTCCGCCGCGATGATGGATGTGCCCTCTCCCGCCGTGCCCGCGCGTCCGCGACTCCGCGTCACGAAATCAAGTGCAGCACAAACGAACTAAAACACAAGCGCCGCCGTCGCCGTCTGTACCTTCCTTCAGGCCTTCCACCCTCCCTCCCTCTCGCGCACGCCTCCCGTCCTACACGTCTCGTACTCGCCCACTCGCCTTCCTCCCGCCGGCCTACATCCGCATCCGGTTGCAAAACAAACCGCCCACCGCCCTCTTTTGCTTTTCCCACAAACCCTCGGCTTCCCTCCCTTCCCAAAGCCCAACCGCATCTCCTCTGCCTTCCGCGTCCCGTCCCGAGATATATTATACTATACTTCGCCTGCCGCTCGCGTTTTCCTTTAACGCCGTGACGCCTCCCTGGCGTCCACTCACTCCCATCACGCTCAATCACACAGACGTGTTTCGTTTCTCAAGCTCAAACCCGTGCACGTGTTTTTCAAGTCCCAAACCCCGCGCGCTTGTTAGTTCTCTAACTTCCCTTGCATTACCCGGCATCAACGCATCCGCATCTGCCACAACTCGATCGGTCCCAAACCCACATAACCGCGCTCAAGCCCAGCGCTCTCTCGATGCCGCGTACGCGTGTACGTCCCCGGCCTGCTCGTACTTGCTGCTTTTGTTTGCTGATTGTTATTTTTTTTTCCCTGCGCAGAATTCTTACCCATCTCTTCAAGGTAAGCCGACCAATCCATACTGTATACATAGAACGCGCATGCAGCTGCTCCTCTTTGGTGGTGCAGATTCAATTACATAAATCCCTGTTTCTACCTTCTCCCCCCGCTTCCCAGTCTACACAAAAGCAACGAAAAAAATCAATCCAAACCAGCGCCAATTTTCGGCTTCCTCGCCGGCGTTCTTCCCTCTCTGCGAGAGCGGTGTGATGGGCTTGCTCGACCCGCGGTGGAACTCGACCTAAACCCAAGTTCACCCAGTCCGAGTCTGAAACAACGTAAGGTGTGTTTGAATTTGAGAGGGGTAGGCGGCGAGCGCCAGGCTAGGAGTAGGGATGGAGGTCAAGGTTTGAGGGGATGCCGCGATTAATTCATGTCCACCACCCGCAGCTCTCGAATTTAGCTCAATGCCCGTTCGCGTCGACCTCCTGCGAAATTAAAGCCCTATCCCCACGTCGAGCCGAGTCCGAATACAGGTGAGTTGAGTTATTTGAACGAGAACTAAAACGCGGTGGGGTGGGGCGAGGGAGGCGATACGAGCTGACGGGTTGGGTTGGAGGTCAAATTGGACGTTGGAAGGGAGGAACCTTAAGGACGGAGTTGGGAAGGGAAGGGAAGGGATGATGAATGTACGTGGTGCAGTGCGAGTGGGGGAAGAACCCATACCGAGTTGTTGAAGCCCGGGTAATACTAATTCCGAGGTCGGGTGGGAAGACGCCGTTGGGCGGGGTGTGGTCCTCGACTGGAATTTTCGGGTACCAGCTACCCATATATTCTGATTATATTATAAGACTCATCCAAACCACGCCTCCTATCTCAGGCTCTCTCTGGGTAAACGAAGCCGAATTAAGTACCACCGGCAGGAACTTGGGGGGGGGGTTGAATCGATTCGAACTGACCACACATACTACTCACCGGCGGACTTTAAGTACCCTTCGGACTTTGACCTTCCACTCAAACTGCCTCCGACTCGGAACCCCGACTGGAATCGAATTAAATCGAATTATTCGACCCTGCGCAATGCACCCCCAACACTCCCGAAAGTCCCGAGTTCAATTTAGAACGCCTTCCAACGGACTCACACCCGGTAAACGAATCTGGGTATATGTGCATCGCTTTTGGTTGCTTGTTCGGTGGAATACACTTGCATTAACTTGGGATCCAGCGCGGTGGGGGACTCACTCGTGTTGAGAATCTAGAAAATCTTGAACCAAGCCGCACAGTAGAGTCGACTGGGATCAATTTGAAAAATCTCTTTAGCTGCAGGGATTCAGATGGCTCCATAACGGCATCGAAACAGCTGAGTCCGTCTCCTGTCTCATGCGCGGCCTCCATCTCCACGCTTCCCCTCAATTCACCGGTACGAACATAAAGGCAACGTCATTCCAAGCAGGCCAGTGGCCCCGACAAATCATACACACACCCGGCCATGCGCTCAACCCCACCAACACTCTTAATTGTTACTCGACAGTTGATAAAGACATGGAGCAATGAAGACCGACGAAGACCGACCCGAGTCAATTGGTTGAAGTGGATCGCAAATGTGTGCGGCAACCAAGATGTATGGGTGTATTGAAGAATGAATGATTGGGAGTAGGACCTGAAACACGCCTCGATTCAGGAAAGAATTGTGGAAGATACATTCGGGGCGTTGAGTTAAGCTTCAACACCAACGTTGCGGGGGCATGAACATGGGTATTGAAGGACCTGGAATGAAAGAGTACATGAGAAAAGCAGTAATAGAGTGTGAAGGTATGGACCACAGCCTTCATATTGAACCTTTATCGAACCTCGAACCACCTAGGACGGGAAAATACTGTACCATTACGTTCAAATCGACAGGGGGGGTGACGCGTGACTGGTTCAACCATTTCGACAATTCGACAGCTACCCGAAAGGTGCGTGACAAGGGAAAAAATTCGACGTCGGCGGCAGATCCTACCCTTCTGTTGAAGGTAATTTCTTAGAATAGCACCAAAATTTTTGCACAATGTGTTGAACCCTGGTTGGTATTTTATTTCCAGTTCTTTTTGCAGGCCCCTTTAGGGTGATTTTAAATCAGAAACCCAACCATGCACTCAAATTTCAAAGTTGCAGTTTAAACCGCATTCAGCAAGGGTAGGGAGTTGCAGTGATCTTTTACGCTGTTTTGCGCCATTTTTTGGTGGCGTGACAAACCGTTGGACCTATTCGACAGGGGCCTCCGTGACGCGTGACCGCAACCAAAATTCGATATCGATAAGGGGGCGCGTGATGCGTGACTGTCGATTTGAATGTAATGGTACAGTAATGTTATTCCAAGAAAAGGAATGAACCCGAGAGCCACCCACACCTGGCTATCCGGAACTCCCAGGAAACACTCAAGCACATACAGTGAAGAGAATAGAGCCTTAATCTGCCTGATGTGAGGGTTGAGTGAACGAAAGCAAAAATATTTACACGGCAGACGGTGACATCAACATCGTGGGACTTCGAGGAGAACACTCGGATTCAAGCCGTTGAGCACAGGGCGGGTCAGTGGAAGTCGAGAA